CCTGCCCTAGCAGCTGAGCCAGCTCCAGCCCCCCCGCCCTCTCTCCGCCCTCCAGCTGTGCCGGGACCCCCAGCAGGGGCACAATCAGCACGCTCCATGCAAGGTTCCTTGAGGGCTTCCCCGACTGCAATCCAGCCTCACCCCCACCAGGGGGTGCTGCCTTCGCTCGGGAGCGGCAGAGCCGGGCTCAGCTGGGCGGCCAGGGTAGAGCAGCTGAGCCAGCTCCAGCCCCCCCGCCCTCTCTCCGCCCTCCAGCTGTGCCGGGACCCCCAGCAGGGGCACAATCAGCACGCTCCATGCAAGGTTCCTTGAGGGCTTCCCCGACTGCAATCCAGCCTCACCCCCACCAGGGGGTGCTGCCTTCGCTCGGGAGCGGCAGAGCCGGGCTCAGCTGGGCGGCCAGGGTAGGTAGGAAGCGAAGCAGCAGCCCAGCCTCACTGGATGCCCCTGCTGGTGCTGAGGCAGAGCTGGCAGCCCCCCCTCCCCCGCCCATCCGAGTGCCGGTCACCTGAGCATCTCGTTCATCTGGGTGAGTTTCTTGGCCATTTCTGGATGGTCAGGTCCGTGCTTGTGCCCACAATGATCCACGCCCAGGAAATGGGCGATCAGCAGGTCCCATTCACCGCCATCCACTGCAGCACGGGGGAGAGGGCATGTCAGACCACAGCCGCCCCCCTCGGCTAACCAGGCAGCCCGGCTCTCCCCTTGGCACTGCGCTGGGCGCTCCCGCAGGCACAAGGACATCCCGGCCACGCTGGCTCCCTCTGGCCCACTGTCCTGGCTGCCGGCAGAGGCTGGGGCCGGGCACTTCAGAGGGAATGAACTGAACGGGCCAATTGCAAGTGATCCGGCCCGTCGGCCACTCCCAGCATCCGGCAGTCAGCCGTTCAGGGACCCTCAGGGCATGAGGTTGCTTCCTCGGCAGTCTTAGCTAGTGGCCATTGATGGACCTTCCTCCAGGAACTTTTCTCATTCTTTTTAACCCAGTGATGCTTTTGTCCTTCAAAACATCCCCTGGCAAGGAGTTCCACAGGTTGATGATATGTTGTGTAAAGTGCGTCCTTAATTTGTTTTAAACCTGCTAGCCCTGTTCGTTTCATGGGGGACCCCTAGTCTGTGTGTTACATGAAGGGATAAATCACTTTCCACCGTGTCCACCCCAGTCACTTTACAGACCTCTGGCTCATTCCCACCCACCCCCTTCATCATCTCTCCTCTAAGCAGAAGCAGCAAGGACCCAGTCTGAGGACCCTAATCTCAACTGCTCCCCTGGCAGAGCCCTCCCTCCCCAACCTTGTGTGGTGCACAACCCCACCGAAGTAGGTACCATCACCCCATTGTAGAGTTGGGGAAACCGAGGCACACCATGTTGGAGGGACTTCCGAGAAAAACTCAGTGCTCAGCCATAGGCGCACTCATGTTTCATCTTGCATATGTCATACCCTCCCCCCCCCCCGGCGGGGTTACATTCTGCTCCCTGTGGGGGTGGGGTCCCCCATTCTCCTCAAGGCGACGTTACATTCTATTGAGGGGAGCAGTTGGGTCACTGCTGCACCCGGGGGGGGTGTTCACTCCTAAAGTCGGTACAAAGGGGCCATGTGAGGGGTCAAACAAAAGCTCACGGTCTACTGATTCTGTATCTGCTCTTCAGAGATCTGTATAACGTCTGTGTGTGGCGTTATGAATATGCACTCGGTATGGAGACTGGAGGTTTCTCTGTGGACAGGAACAGGCATAGTGGTGGGCATGAGCACTAAGCAGTCTGTGAGGTGCTGCTGCTGCTGCTGCTGGCTTAAGATGCAGATTGCAGGCCTCTGCAAGCCTCTGCAGCCAATCTTGCATGGTGCAGAGGCGGATTTAAGTGATAGTTACACACCACAGTTAGAAGTTTGCCAGTCTATATTTGAGTCTCTTCAGAACAATTACGTTAATACCATACATTTGTGGTGACTTATTAATGTTTAATTTATCAAATTGTTCCAAACCCTCCTCTAGTAACACCTCAGTCTGACGGCAGTTCCTCTTTATATTCTCTGCAGTGAAAACCAATGGAAAAAAACTGGGAGATTCGGTGCATGTAATGTATTGTCCTTTAGCAACCTCACTCTCATGCTTTTCTTTAATAAACCTTTAGTTGTTAGATGCTAAAGGATTGGCCCAGCATGATTTGTGGGTAAGGTCCAAAGGATAAATTGGCCAGAGATCTGTGGCTGGTTTCCTGGAACCAGACAGAACTTGTTCGGGGTAGGCGGGATTGGGTGCTAGGACCCCCCACCTGTGTATGAGGCCCGGGGCCATCTGGGGCACGGATATTGCTGGGGTGTCGGAGGGGTTTAGCTCAGGAGGCTTCAGGCAGGCAGCTGAAGCGCTCGGTGGGACTGGTTTGTGGCCTATTCGGGAAGGTCTCCGGTCAGGGGCTGTCAGGAGCCCCGAGTTTGAGCAATTCGCCCTGAGCAGACGCCCTCAGCTGTGCCCAGACCCGGCCTGGCCCGTCACAGTGGGATCCCCCGTTCTGCCCCGGGAGGGGTTACATTCTGCCCCGTGTGCGCAGTGGTGGAGACACTGGGGATGTTTGCCATTAAGGGCAGGTGTCTCAGCCAGGAAGGAAGGCTGTTCAATTGTGGCTACCGAGCAAAGTGTTTAGTCGCTACAATTTCTATCGACTGTACGATCTGTCGATAGGACCGCTCTCCAGGGGTAGCTCAGGGGTCGGGACTGGGCAGTCCTGGCTCACGCCGGCTCTGGGAGCCACCATTTTACATGGAGTTAGAGCCGCCGGCCAGGTGCAGCGTCCCGGACCAGCGCCAGCTTGGTCCCGGCTCACGCCGAGTCCAGCAGCTCTTGTTCGCAGCGGACTGCCCTGGCTGCAGTGAACAGAGGCTGCTTGGCGGCAGCAGCCCCTGTCCGCGGGGAGAGGGGAGCTCTCCACTGGGGCTCTCCTGCGGGCAGGGCAGCACAGCGGAGACGGTGCTGGAGGGAACTGGCTTTTAAGCAGAGACGCCCCCCAGCTCCTGCTGCCCCACTTGCTGCCTCTCTCTGACAGAGTCAGCGGCGCGAGACCAGTCGAGTCACTGCTGGACTGTCCGATACGTTTCCGCTTAGCGGATACGCGACTAGTCGCTTCCATCCCTACCTGGGAGGGGCTCACGGGGCTATCGCAGGGCTGGCGTTCGGGGGCAGGAAGCAGGGCGCTTCCTGGGGTCCCATGGCACAGGGGGCCCACAAAGCTAAGCTACACGCTCCAGCCCCGAGCCCTGCACCCCAGCGGGGCGGGAGCCCGGCCTCTGAGTTTAAGGCAGAGGGGTCCTGATTTTTTTAAGTCCAAAGATGGCCAGCAGCTCAAGAAGGCTGAGAAACGCTGCCCGAGGCCAGCGCCTCCCGGGGGGACCCACTTCTCTGCAGCCTCTTGTCTCCCCTCCATCGTACGGGGCGAACTCCCCCCAAGGTGGCTTCCCCCATCCCGTGGGCAGCTTTCTGGTTCTGGCACACTCATGTAGCTGGGTCTCTGACAGGCTGTCAAAGGCACCTGGCCCCCGGCTGGACAAAGTCCAGCTACACACAAACCAGCCCGGGGCGACACCTCCCTTCCCCCGCGCACCTGAGCCGGGCTGGGCATTTCAATGACAGCCAGGCAGGCACCAGCTTCCTAAGGGCCCTTCAAGGTTAAATCCAGGTACAACGTTCAGGGCCCCGCTTCCCAGGGCAGAGCGGGCCCAGCAGGTCTGGCTTGGAGGAGGGGCATGCAGGGAGCCCGGGGCCTGCCCAGCTGCACTGCAGGCTGCGGGGTTGCAGCGGCGCTGGGGTGCTGGCTCTGGGCTCCCGGCCCGGCTGGGCCACACAGCAGTTCTCGGCTGGGCGGCAGGGACCCGAGGGTGCTGGCACCCCAGTCCCAGCCCCCAGGCAGGACCGCTCACCGGTCGGGTAGAGGTGCTGCAGGATCCCATCGTCCACCGTGTGAAGATCCTTCACGTTAAACGAAGGGAAGAAATACGAGCGGAAGAACTTCTGGGGGAAGAGCCCGTCCCAGGTGTCGTCTCCCATGAAGACCACTCTCCTGCCTGGGAAAGCAGGACGGGGGTTAGCACGGGGGCCAGGGAGGGGGCCCAGCCTTACCCAGACCTGTCAGCACGTCTCCCCCCGCCCCCGGCTCAGGGATCAAAAGCTAGTGGCCCCCGCCGGCTGTCAGAGCCCCTATGGAGCGAGTGGGAGAGACCTCCGCCCTGTTCCCCCCCCGAGCTGCCTCCCTTTCCGCCCGCGGTGATGGCAGCGTGTCTCACAGACCCTGCAAGGCCTGGTGGCTGAAGCAGAGACTCCCCAGCTGCAGCACCTGCCTTGGAGAGCAGGATCCCGGCACGGACCTGCCCCTCCCCACACTCCCAGCGCTGCACCCTCAGTCTCCCTAAGAGCTGCCTTCCCCGCAGTGGCTGCCCCCGGAACCACCTTCCCTTGCTGCTCCCTGTGGCCGGGGCTCTCTGAGGAGCCCCTGCCCAGCCACACTGGCGGGGTGCTCCCCGCGGGACAGGCTTGGCCGGGAAC